TGAAGAAGACACAAGTAAATGGAAACCTACCCCATGCTCATGGATAGGAAGAATTAATATTTACAAAATGGCTATCCTGCCCAAAGCAATTGACAGATTCAGTGCAATCCCTATCAAAATAACAATGGCATTTTTCATTGAACTAGAACAAATAATCCTAAAATTTGTATGGAACCACAGGAGACCCTGAATAGCCAAAGCAGTACTGAGAAAGAAGAACAAAGCTGGGGGTATTATGCTCCCTGACTTTAAGCTATACTACAAAGCTGCAGTAATCAATACAGTACAGTACTAGCACAAGAATAGATCCATGGATCAATGGAACAGAATAGAGAGCCCAGATACAAACCCATTCATATATGGTCAATTAATATATGATAAAGGAGCCATGAACATACAGTGGGGAAAGACAAAGCCTCTTCAATAACTGGTGTTGTGAAAACTGGCAGCTACATGCCAGAGAACAAAACTGGTTACTGTCTAACTCCACATAGAGAAGAAGTAAACTTGAAATGAATCAAAGACCTGAATGTAAGTCATGAAACCATAAAACTCTTATAAGAAAACATAGGCAAAAATCTTTTGAACAGAAGTATGAGCAGTTTTTTTCTGGACACATATCCTAGGGCCAGGGAAACAAAAATGAACAAGTGGGACTACATCAAACTAAAAAGCTTGTGTACAGCAAAGGACACCATCAGCCGAACAAAAAGACATCCTGTTAAAGTATGAGAGAATATATTTATAAACCCATTCAATAATGGGTTAACATTCAAAATATATAAAGAGCTTATACACCTCAACATGCAGCAAACAACCCATTTAAAAAAATGGGCAGAGGACCTGAACAGACATTTCTCCAAAGAAGAAATGCAGATGGCCAACAGGCACATGAAAAGATGCTCCACATTGCAAATCAAAACCACAGTAAGATATCACCTCATACCAGTCAGAATGGCCACTATCCAAAAGACAAGAAAAAAGTGTTGGTGAGGATGTGGAGAAATGGGAACCCTCCTATGCTGTTGGTGGGAATGTAAATTGGTACAGCCACTGTGGAAAGCAGTATGGAGTTTCCTCAAAAAAACTATAAATAGAAATACCATTTGACCCAGTAATTCCACTTCTGGGAATTTACCCAAAGAAAACAAAATCCCTGACTTGAAAAGATATATGCATCCCTATGTTTCTTGCCACATTATTTACAGTAGCCAAAAATGTGGAAGCAACCTAAGTATCCATCAGTAGATGAAGGGATAAAGAAAATGTGGTACATATACATAATGGAATATTATTCAGCTATTAAAAGAAAAGGAAATCCTGCCATTTGCAACAACATGGATTGATCTAAAGGGTATTATGCTCAGTGAAATAAGCCAGGCAGAGAAAGACGCATACCATAAGATTTCACTTATTTGTGGAAAATAAAAATGAAGCAAAGCAGAAGGAACAACAATACAAATTCATCATGAGGATAGTAGTACAACATGGAGAATATAGTCAGTGATTCTGTAATATCTTCCTATGTTGACAGATAGTAACCATGCTAGAGGGGGTGATAATAATATGGGTAGCTCTTGAACTATGTTGCATATTTGAAACCAATGTAAGGTTGTCTATCAACAATACTTCAATAAATGATGTAGAAGAAAATACCCTCCATTGGGATCAGAAGCCAGTTGGATATCTTCATTCTGTGACTTTCCTGCTGTATGATGTGAATAACTCCATGAACACGTCTGATCCTGATTCAATCCCTGCAGCTCTAAAACAGGACTAATAAACATCCCTTTTCCTGACTAAAGCATGTTGAAATGTTGAGGAAAGGCGAGGTGCTAGGTAAATGTAAATGATCATTTCTAGTTCCTTTGATATTGCCTTGTCTGTCTACCAAAGGGAGAGTAACTTTTACCATGATCACAATTACTGGATTTTTCTTGAATTTTTGGCTTAAAATTTAAGCTCAAAATGCCTTTCAGGAAATCACAATACTCACTGCAAAATGCCCTCCTAGACTAATGAATTACAAGCAGACGAGAGATGTACTGTGCTCCCAGTCTGTCATGTTACTACTGTGTGTAATATGTGCCATTGTTGAGTCTCAGTGAGGGATTGGGATTTGAGTATTATGCATTTTTTCTCAACTGGGCTGAAACTGAGAAGGAGGATGAGGTGGGCCATGGAGATGTGGTAGTTCAAGGGGAGGCTCTATCTAAAACTTGGTGACGCTCACAGGGCTCTGGGCTATTAACCAATCCAGTCATACCCATTCACTTGCAAAGCTGCAGGCTGTGATAACCTCCCAGCCCTGTGTACTGTGTCCCCGGGGCAGGCAAATGCATATGTAATCCTAATGAGATTTAGAGCAGGCAACACGGAAATCAGTAGTTTCAGTCAGGAAGTCCCACTTTGCCCTGATGATAATCATGGGGTCCTCTCTATTTCTCTGTAGTTGATCCTGTATTGGGCAACTTTGTTACCTAGCCCTTTAGTTCTTCTCACTCAGATCGAGCCGCTATAGGCCTCTGGGCCTCAGTCACCTTCTCCTTACAGAGCAGCCAATGTCATACCTAACCACTGAGGTTATTACAAGATGGACAGTTTCCCTGCTCCCCTGGCAGAGAAGCATGGGCCCTGTGTCCTTCTAAGGCATGATGGAGGACTCAAAGGTTCCCTTCAAGGGCCAGGCAAATACCATAAATGATTCAAGAGAGTTGGATGAAAACAGCGGCAAATCAGAAGGAATACCAGATCTGTGTGTTTGTTTCTTTTTTTTTTTCTTCAATCCAGAAATGCAGGCCCTGTGTTGCCTTCTGCTTTTTCAAGAAATAACAAAAATCTGGTATTTTTTATGTGACATGTATTAATTTTGGCAAGTAACTAAGTTGTTTTTAAACTACATTGTCAGTGGCAATATCCTACCTAGTTCTTAACTTGAGGAGAGTTCAAGGGTGTTTGTTGCACATTTTGCTTCATGGTTTACATATACGTTGTATGTAGAGGTACCATTTATTTTGTCATCCAAACCAGGGCAATTTGAGAGAGTAAACGGGATGTGATTAATATTTTTTCAGGTATAAACTAGGGCTTTCTCTTCAAATATTATTTGAATAATTTCAAATATCCTCTTCCTCATTTTGAAGGAATGGTGAAAGACGTGTTTGTGAAAGGCTGTGGAAATGGGCCTCGATAAAGGGGTGGGAAGACACTCAAGCTGGAATTAACGTGATACATGCAGGACCAAAAGACCTGCACTTTGAGAAAGCTCCTCAATGGGCAAAGGTTGAAATATGTCTGTGTGGTAGTATGGAAGCAGATTAGGAAGTGCCTTTAAAGCCAGTGCACAAGGTTCCATACTTCATGCCACTGGCAAGGGGAACGAATGTCTGTTATTGAGAAAGAGATGGCCCTGGAATGCAGCAGGGATCAGAGGGACAGAGACAATAAAGCTGGAATGGGCATGTTCAAGAGCTAGAAGGCAGAGCATAGTTCATTAATACATTTAACAAACATTTATTGAACACCCCCCGTGGGCTGGGCACTGTCCTGTGAGCTGGGAGATGCAAAGATATAAAGGACATAATCCAGTGGGGGAGTCAGAAGTTTCAAAAGAGAATCATCATGTTTCCATGGGTAGCAGGAGTGATACCTGAGTTGGTATTTATAGGAAGAATGGAGGCAGCCAGATGATGGAGATAGGGAATGAAAAGAGCATCCCAGGCACGTGTGGAAATAGTAGTGAGACATGAAGCTGGAGAGCAGGCAGGGGTCAGGCGGATCGTTTGGGGAAGGCAAGGAAAGCTTCCCGTGGTGAGACAGGAAGAGATTCAAGAGAAGCAGAAGAGCTCTGGAAAGAAGCAGCAGATCAGAAGATGAGATGCACAAGTGCTGTGTCAGGAAAGTGGAGAGAGGAAGTGGGGTTTCAACAGCAGCCTTTAACAGAGAGAGGGTGCCAAAGACAGAGATCCAGAAGACGGAGGGTTTGGCTGGAAGAAGGTTGTTAGTGGGCTTCTGCTTCCATCTCCAAAGAGGTTAAGACCATCTTCCTACAGCTACCAGTGCTGCAGAATCACCTTACCTATGTCTCAGACAGAAAGATAGCTGAGGTGCCCAGCAACTGGTTTTTCACTTTCCTTGTTCACAGAGTCTGGTGGCAGAGAGGGAGGAGCGGGGAGCTGTAATCTCTGGTGATTGAGACCAGCAGCACGCCCTGCAACCACATCCCCTTTCTGCCTTTGTGTGTGAAAGGCAGGGGACAAGCCCTGGAGAGTGTACATAAACTCTGTGTGGTAGAGAAGAAAAGAACAAGGTGTTACTCTGACACACTGTTACATTTTAAAAATTATTCTGAGTTGTAAAAAACAAAGTGAATAGTGGAGCTTCCTCAAAAACAGATTCTGAGCCCTATCTGTAACGAACAGCCAGCCGTGTGGGATTCTTGTGTGGATCTGTTTTGGCACTGGGTTATGTAATTATTTTTATCGTGGGATCAGAGCTGAGTCAGTCAGAGCCAGTGTCTTCCAGGTGCCGAGAGGATGCAGGTATTGTCCATGCCGTCTGTCTGCTCAGATCTCTGCCCACACTGAGTCTCAGCTGAAGGATCTACCAGATTTAGTACATGTGGGCCTGGAGGTTGTTTTCTAACAGCAAATCCTACCCTCCTTGTTGAAAAATCCTAACAATCTGCCCTATAATTTTTTTTAGTTGTAGTAAGCTCATTACTGGGAAATGCCGTTCTTGGGAGTATTTATACCTGTCAACCATGTAGAAACAGGAAAAAAGATTGAAAGCCCAAACTTGTGTCCAGAAATTAATTTTCACTTATAAAAACTACTGAAAGAAATTCAAAATATAATTTTATAATTTTTAAATATTAATATTTATTCTATAGCTCACTTGTTACTAATACAATAGAAATAAATCTGTGTTAGCTTAATGTGACTTGACCCTTAATTCACTGCACTAAGAGTTGGGAGTTACGTGTTCTTTTCCTACTGTAGGTGCTGGTCTCAGTGTCAGTGACAATGAATCTGGTCAAGGCAGCCAGGAGGGCGGTACCTTGACTGACTCCCAGATCGTAGAACTCCGGAGGATACCCATCGCCGACACCCACCTCTAGCCCCTCAGTAACCATCAGAATGAGGATACTTTCGTATTTGTATTGGCTTTGTGCTAACATTTCATAAGTAGATACAGCCACATAACAGAAATACATGGATTGTACTGGATGATTAACCCAGAAGTGACTGTTGTTTTTGGAATATTAAATTACTTACATTTTTGTGAAACCCAACAGCTTACTGCTATAATGAAAGACTGGATTGATTTCTGTCAGTTAATAGTTAATAATGCACATATTCCATAGTTGTTTTTTAGTCATCCTACATGGCTAACATTGTTTAATAAAAGTAATAACAATCAATAAAAACCATAGAATCCTTTTGGCATCACCCGGCTCATTATTTATGAAGAAATGGTGTGCATGAGCGAAGAAACAAACCCTATCTTAGATGATGTCAAGCACCCTGTTCCAGCATTAATACATACAGGTGATCCAGAATCAAGACTAAACAACATCTAGAAAGTGTTCTTTCCTAAAACCGTAAAATTTGTTGTCTGTTAATGATTCTGCACCTAAGGATTGATAGGGTTACTGTATTTTTCATAGTCTTTCATCAAAAGTATGTATTTCTGCTCATGATAAAATTGGGGATCTGAACATTTTCCAGAATAAATGTTCTGTTCCCAGTTAAAAATAACTCCATCAAGCATTTTAGCACAGCTTAAAAGAGGAGGATTCAAACAGTACAGTTTGTTTGGGAGAAATGTTTTCTGGTTTGGATTTTCCAGCCTTCCTTTGTCTTGGAATGAGAAATCAGAAAGTCTATCCCAGAACAAACACTATTGTGTTCGTGATGATTTCATTGACTATGGTTCCAAAAGAATCATTAGGAACAGAACACGTTTGTCCTAAGGAACTCTTTTTGACCTTTTATTTTGGAGTTCTTAAGTAGTTTTGAGAAAATCAGTATGATCTCAAGAAAAAATTAAAATAAAAAATAATTTTGTTCTGTTAATTTCCTTTAGAGACATAATTAAAACATCAGTCCTCTATCATCATTGTTAAAAGTGGATTTATTTTTTATAAAACCTGAGGTGGCATTATTTATCTTGATAAATTATAAAATGACTCCTCTTCCTGTTCCCCAACTTCCATCTCCTCCCTCTTAAATTGAGTTTGATCAGTGGATTGTCTTTGTAGATAGAAAACAAAAGCTACAATGACAAAAAGCCAACAGCAAGACAAAGGCTGCATCATTGAGGAGTTATAATCCTTTTTCAGAACCTTAGCAACTGTGATAATAAGATCGAGTTTATTTTAAGTGAAAGAGATTGGTTGTCTTTTTCAACCTACAGCATTGCATTGCAGTCTGTTCTATGATAGGGTAGAAGCAACGGATGAAATTGGTTATAATATTTAAAATTAGAGATGAAAACAATGAAATGAGTAAGCATTCTAAATTGTTAATAGGTTTTAATGAATGTGTGGCATAGGTCATCATTACAGAAATGTGAGATTTCATTGTGTGGAATCCATGAATTATAATCATTGTAACATTTTGCAGATGACTAGATTCTTATTTGTCACTTAAACCAAATTCAATCTTATTACCATCATTTCTAATGTTCCTAAAAGGATTATAGCTTCACCAATGATGAATTCTCCAACAACATGAATTGTCAATTGCTACTTTCATTTCTACATGTCAGATTTTGGGGAAATCTGGCCAAAAACATGATCAATCAAGGACATCTTTCTTCTGATTACTGGATTTCTATTACTGTCAGAAACACCCTCTTGATAAGGAATCAAAGGGCCACCTGCCACTGTTCAGCATGATTCTTTTAAATATAGGAAGAGCTCTAGAAGCAGCAGCGCTAAAACAAATAAGCTTCATATTCAAACAGCAGCAATATTTTGTGGTCCTGTTTCCTCCATATGTAGAATAAATGGGACATCTGCCAGGGAATTACAGTACTATGTAGGAAGAAGCAAATCAGACCAAATTCTTTAAAATGAAAACGGGAAGGCTGGGACTATAACACTACAACTGTTGTCTTTCTTTTTTCAGAAAATCTGACCCTCTTTTTCTCCAAGACATTTTTTTAAACAGCTTTATTAAGATATATTCATATTCCATGCAACTCACCCATTTAAAGTGCGATTCAGCGGTACTGGGTATATGACACCATTGGGGTTTTTTCTTTTAATTGTGGTAAAATGTATGTAACAAAATTTGCCATTTTAGCCACTTTTAAGTGTATTTTTAAACTGGCAGTCATCACCTCTATTTCTAAAACTTTTTAATCACCCCAAAGAGAAACACTTTATTCCCATCTCCACGACATGTTCTTTCCTCTGTCAGTAGACACTGTCCCTGCTTCTGTATTTTTGTGATTTTTAAACTTGTGTTTCTTTCTGTTCTAGGTTTTTTTTCAACTGTCATTTCTTAGAATGTTGAAAAAAAAGGGATTTCCTAATTTGGAAGCAAGTGCAGACAGGTATGTCATCGAGGTGCAGGCAGCAGTGGGGTTGGTTGGATCCCTAAGGTGGGAGACCAGGCAAATGAAAATCTTAGTAAGTAAAACACAGGATTTTACTCTGGAACTTTAGCTTTGAGTTGATGTTCAAACTCTTGAGGTGTTCTAGAGTTTAATCAATACTTTCTGTATCTGTCAAATCTGACCAGAGAGATTTAAACACATAATTGGGATGTAAGTGGGAAAAAAAAATACTATTCAGGAAAATCACTCCCAAAAATTTCATCTTGTATTTACCAGTGCTTAAGATCCTCCTTGAGTTAAGCCTTACGCCCCTGGGCAGATCTGAGTGAGCATAGGTCTCAATCAGATAAGTGGTGTTGACCTTTTCAAAGCTGCTGGGTCGCCAGAGTGGATCTCCTCTGCACAGCCTGACCTTGGTGGAAACAAAGCAGCAAGCACATTCCTGTCCGTGTTTCATATTGCCATTTAACTGTTAATGGCATGGATCCAGTCTCCCCGATACTTCTCTAGCGGGATGTAAGCCAAAGGACCATACTCTCCATAAGTGGCATTTGAAGAATGGACCAAGCCACTGAGGCCAGAGATTCCAGTATCTCAAATCTCTAATGAAATAAAGTACAACTCAGATGAGTAACATTCTTATTGGTAAGATTTAACTGGTACACTGAAGTTTTTCTTATCTAATGCATTTCTCCTAACCAAACTTTTATCCCATAAAAATAATTTCAACACTATAGTGGGAAAACTAACCTTTACAAAGATTCAGGAAACCCCAGATTTTTTATGTAACTATAACACATGCTAGCTGGTACATACAATGAATGCATACACACTATTCCTATGGAAATGTTGTATTGCAGTCTGTAACTATAACTATTCAAATCACCTTGACAAGTTCAGCAACCCCCTTAATAAGAAATTTACTACACTGGAGATAGAAGTTTAACAAGAAATATATTTAAAACAACCAAGATATTCACTTAACACTTCAGTATCACTGATTTATGGTTAACAGACATCTTTTCCTTAAGTAAATTACATCGTTTCAGGAGAAGAAGCAACTGGAAAATAACTCTGTTTTCTGTCATGTTTCCCCGTGACACTGGGATGTGGTTATCGAGTACTGTGGCCACGGTCTCTGGGAGTGCTTTGGATGCTTCAGCTCAGTTCCCCGCCTGGCCTGGATGCAAGAGCTGGGCCTAACTGTTTTGACTGTGCTCTGAGCACAAGATTAAAGTGAATTCCCTAAAAATGACTCAGCTCAAAGAAATTGTTAGCACTTTCAGGGCATGAAATAATGTTTTAGTCCTGAGAAAAAACATAAGTAATCACTCTTTTCTAATTGAGTAAGAGGATTCCAATTTAAGCAGGGTAAACCATTCTCTATGCCTGTGATCAGCCTTTAGGAGTTTATGAGCAAAACCAGAAATTTGGTTTTATTCTTTAAATTTAGGAATGTACTGAAAGCATTTGTTTTCTACCATGAATGAAGGAAGGAGACAGTGCAAGCCATTTCAGCATCACTCATTTTGGGTTTAGAGTATGATGACATTCTTTTGAAAGGTAAGGGTGTATACTTGAGTGTGTGTCAGAAATAGAGATGGCATAAATGAATTCTTGGAATTCAGAGAAAGAAAAGCAAGGACAATCGTGATAATAACAATTTCCATTACCTTTTACAATGCATGATTTAAAGATACTTTGAAAAGCTGATTAATGAATTGTATGAAACTGTCCATCATCCTGCCCTATAGTATATGTCCTTACATCAAAATCATTCTGAAGACTTTTGCCACATTACAGGAGGGAAGTAAGCAATCATTTAATAAAAGAGCTGAAAGAGTAGTGAGAACAGTAAGACAAATTAGAAAGGTGCCCAAGAGCTATCAGGGGCGTCGTGGTTCTTTTCCTGAATATTCTCTCCTATCAAATAATACACAGGTATTGTATAGTAAATGGGATGTAGTTAATGAATGGTTTCCTCTTTTAAAAGATCATCCTATAGGCCCATGCAGATGGTCATAGAGTGCAGAATTTACTTTCTTTTTTTAAAGGCCTCATGGTATCCCATTATATGTGTATGCCACACAATCGTTAACCATTCATCTTTCAGTGGGTATTTGGGTTGTTCCCATATCATGGCTGTTGCAAATAAAGCTCCATTGAACGTGGGTGTGCTAGTATCTCTGAGATACTGATTTCAGTTCTGTTGGGTAAATACCAAGAAGTGAGATTGCTTGGTCTTACGATAGTTCTATTTTTAATTTTTTTGAGGGAACGTCTGTACTGTTTTCCACAGTGTCATGTTATTTTACATTCCCACCAACAGTGTGCAAGAGTTACACATCCTCACTAACACTTGTTGTCTTTTGGTAGTTTAGTAAGAGCCATCCTGACAGGTGTGACGTGACGTCTTGTTGTAGTTTTGATTTGCATTTTCCTGATGATAGGTGATGTTGAACATTTTTTCATATACCTGTGACCATTCTATGTCTTATGTGGAGAAATGCCTATTCAAGTCCTTAGGCCCTTTTTAAAATTTTATCAGGTTTTTTTTTTTTTTACTATTGAGTTTTAAGAGTTCCTTGTATTTTGGAGATTAACCTCTTATCACATATATGGTTTGTGAATATTTTCTCCCGATTCCACAGGTTGCCTTTTTACCCTTTTGATAAATGAAGTATGCCAGTGACAGAAAGATAAATCTGCATGATTCTACTTTGTAAGGTATCTAAAATAGTCAAATTCATATAATCAAAGAATGGAATGGTGCTTTCCTGGGGCTGAGGGAAAGGTGAAATGGAGAGTTAACTAATCAGTGGGCATTAAGTTTCAGTTAAGCAAGATAAGTTCTGGAGATCTGCTGTACAATAT